TGTTTTAAATATATTTGTAATGGAATATCGAGAGATTTCATTCTATGACTGGTTTGTTTTATGCAGTTTGATCTCGATAGATGTAATGAGACTTTATATATTAAATTATATTTGCGAATGTGTTAAAGTTAAGGTAAAACTATGCAAACCTCAATAAAATATATATTAAATTAATATAATATGTTAAATGTATATTCCATAATATTAAATTCGAAATTTTAGGCTAGAAGAATTGATAGAATATTTCATCAACTAACAAATATTATCCAATACGCTGACGTTTGGAAAGAGGTAAGCAATTTATAAAAAATAAATGAGATAAAATTAAAATTATGATTATTTATCTACAGATTAATCAGTTTACTTTGCATGCAATACAACATCCGTTAAAATTTACTGGAATGGGTCTCTTCTATTTTGGCTTTGACTTCCTTCGAAAGGTTCACTTTCATATACTTTTTTTCACTATTTTATTTTTGTGCCATATATTAAATAATTAAATTATATTATTAAATTAAGGAAATAAAAATTCTGTAAATTGATCTAATGTTGTTTCCGAAATTTTTATATTACTATCCTTTCACTACATACCTACTTCTCTTGTTCAATTTTTAATTTTTAATTTATTACATTTTAATAAATTATTATTTTTATATACAGCAGAACTTTTAATTGACATGTTTTCTTTCAGCTTTGCACGACGATTTTAATGTATGTGATTATTATGATACAAATGAAAGTACGTCTTTTTTAAATATGTTATAATTTCTTTTTAAAGAAGACAATAATTGGCATGTCATCAAGTAACATTGTAATAATATATTGTAGGATATTTTGTTGTCAGGATATGAAATGGAATAGAATACTTTTTAAGACAAATAACTGATATTTATTTGTTGAATTACAATATTAATACGAACAAAGAGAGACGCTTGTCTAACACACATCTTTACGCTCTCGCAACGACACAGAGACTGCTCGTATCGCGGACCGAAAAATGCCTGGGCGACCTATCTGCTTGTACCTCAAGTGGTGGTATATCTGTTTATCGGATGGTCTATCTGTTTATCTCTAGAAAAATACTCGAACACTTGGGCAGCCCTACGGATTCACTTTCCTTCAATATTAAGATTATTATGTATGTAATTATATCAAGATTAACTATCATTTAGTTGTATAAACTTATATATCATGGCATAATACTTTATTTGATAAACCAATCATGTAACTATATAATATTAAACATAAATATCGTGTACAAGATTCTTTAAAAAATTTATAAATGTTTTTAAATGTTATATATGCACATAAAAGAATATAAATAAGAATATAAATTTATAAATATATTTATGTAATATATAGACTTAAAAATAACAAGAATAATAAAAACAAGAATTGTAAACATTTTAGAATAATTGTAAAATATAATTAATAAAATAAATATTAATGTTAAAATGACAATCTATAAAATTTTTTATTCTAGTACATAAGCTTAATAATAATGTGCGATAAATAAATTATGCTAATGTGTTATTAATTTATATTACGATAAATTTATATAATTTACATTGTAATATAATATAAATATTTATCCCATTTCACGAGCAATAAAAAAGAAAAATTGTATATTTTTGATTCTTCTTATTCTCTTTTTTCTCTCTATTACAAAAGAATAATTTGTACATGATTTAATACATTAAATATAATTAACTTTAAATAATTTATGATTAATAAATATGCTTAAAAAAAGCATGATAAAATTGTATTTCTTAATCAAGCATCTTCTTAAGACAATTACTTTGCAAGTAAAGTAGCTGGAAATTATTACCATTTAATTCTTTATATTTCTCAAAAATTATGTGGTTAAGGATTCATTTTTTAATGAGATATTATCTACTGTCTATGTCAAATATAAAAAATAAGTTTATATAAAATAAAACACAGATGCTGTAAACAAATTGTAATGCCAATCTTTATATGTTTAAATATTTTTTCCTATTTACTCTCGTGATATTTAATCATATCAAGTAAATTACAAGTTAAATGGAGTGAATTTATGAAAGCGATGTTATCTTGATATTTACCGATTTTATTAGAAATATGTAAAATGTTATATTATATAATAAGAAAAATTGCGATATATAAAAACACATGACAGTGACATAAGCAAAATTGAATGTGTTTTATACAGAGAAAAATATGTAAAAAGTGATTAAGCAGCATTATTTTAATAGTTTATAGGCGATATAAAAGATTTATTAGTGAATTTCATTAGAATGAATCGATCATTTTTTAATATAAATAAATAAGTATAAAGAACTATACCTACATATTAGAAATTCATTATCATGTAACAAATTAGTACAATTGCAATATGTTAAACAAATAAGTTTGGGTAGATAGTCAGTGTTACTTTAATGCAGCAATGATGACCATTGTTATCCAACAGATATGAGTCCTTTCTTCTTTATGGGCTTTATTATGGGTTTAAGAGACTATTCTATAAAACAATCAAATTCAAGAATTCAGTAGATTATTTATTTAAATACTTTATATTCAATAATAATCTGGTTTATTTATGTTTATCTCTATTATTATATAGTGACCCTATTTAGATGGAGGATAATATTTCAATCCGATATTAATACAGTCGTTATGGAGATTAATATCTTTATCTGTGTTATATCTGTGACTACGACTTTCTATCATCAAAAGGTACAATTATTCTTTTAGATTTTAAGTGTAAATTATATATATAATATATATTTTTTTTTTCCACAAAATTGCATATATATATATATATATATATATATATATATGCAATTTTGTGAAAAATTAATAGCCTTTTTAAACAATATTTCTAAAATTATTTAATAGTTGTATGTAATTATACTTTATATGAAGAAGAGGAAGAAAAAAAGAGACAGAAAGAGAAAAATTGTGTCATGGATCGTATTAAATTATGTGTTTATGTTTATTTTTTAGAGATTTGGAACATGTTTGAAAAAGCTTGCTGCGGATGACACTTTGGAGAAATTAGGCACACTCCAGAAATGCATAAAAAATATATAAGAGATCGAAACAAGCCATTGGATGGATTATGTACATTCTGACTATAAACTTTTATGATACACTATGGTGGCTGAGTATATAACAAAATCCGCTTGGGGATTTTTGACAGCTATATTAAATTATTGCAGCCATATAAATGCATTTATGAACTTATTATTTATTTTTATCTTATGGTTTGTATAATATTTAATATATTTGTATGTATGTATACACATATATATACATATATATATATATATATATATATATATATATGTGTATGCATCTATGTATATATGTTCATATATATATAAATAGCACACACAAATAGTTGTATATATTTTAAATTTTTATATATATTTTTATATATATTTTTATATTTTATTTTAGACATATTTTTATAGATTCTTTTGCAATTTTTATATTAATTTATAAATTATAGACATCACAAGTATTTTATATTTTTTCTTTAAATATTTTAAATATTATTCCATTTATATTTAATTAAATAAAATATTATATAATATATATTTAAAGTATATCATATCAATGTACATTAATACATCACAAATATGTTCTGGAGATAACATATCAGAATAATGTATTTTATAATTTGTAAAACATTGTAATACAGGTATATCGGTAATAGATTTGACGAAATAAACAAGCATATGAAATGTCTATTGATGACAGAAGAATACGGCTTCCAATGTATAATATTTAAGTGGAAAGGAGAAAACCTATTGTTGGTCTACATCGATATACTTTATGTACTTACAATTATAAGACAGTGTTGTGGATCTTAATGTAAATCGATATATGCACATGTTCGAAAAAATTATCATTTCGATATTCATTTAATAATAAAATTTTGTAGAACTTAGTATTTCCGAAAATAATTAATTAAGAAAATCAAATTTATATGAATTCTTTCAATGTATAACTACACTTTATACGAATAAAAAAATATGATTTTCTATAATAACAAAATACATGTCTTTTGATAGGCATCTTCATTTAGAATTATGTCGCATTGCTCGTGAATTGAATTCGATATTTGGAATGCAAATAACTTTCGAAATGTTATCCTACTTTGCAAGTATATCAACAATGTGTTATGCTTTATTCGTGATGTTAGTGCAGAAAGATAAATGAATATATATATATATATATATATATATATATATATATATTCTTTTACCTTAATTCTAACACTCTCACAGATATGATTTATGAAGTAGATTCTCACTACTAATGTGGACATTCAATAGATAATATTAATCCATATGTATATATATATATATATATATTATAGTTTACTTAGAAATCGTAATCCAGAGCTCTTGATAACTGCACACATTTATAACGAAAGGATTATATTTATACAGAAAAAAATGAAATTTGTAACAATATCTGTGTGGTTCAAGTTATTATACCATCAATTTATTAAATTATTAACAATTCAAGTAAAACAATTTTGATTGAAATGTTGCTTTCCGCGTATAATGCTAATACATTGTCCGAAATTTCAAAAATTTTAATTGATTTATGATGATGTAAAAGGCAGAGTAAGAGAAGAAAGAATTGTTCAAAACATATTCGAATTTTTAAAATATTTAAATAAATATCGAGAGTTAAAAACCGAAAAAAACTTAAATCGAATTAAATAGATTTTATTTTTAAATTATTTTATATTAATCAATATTTATATTAATTATTATTTTATAATAATTAATATATATTAATTATTATTTTATAATAATTAATATCTATTAATTATTATTTTATAACAATTTATCTACATAATAGATTGTCACATTATTACAGTATATAAAAGTATTCTCACAAAAAAGTCATTTTTAATTTTCGAGAAATATAATAATACTTATTTAAATATTATTATAATTAATATTAAACAATATTATAACGATTAATTTGAAGAGCATAAGAATTCTGATGTTTTTATATCTCATTTTTTTAAGATTACATTTCTTTCATTTTTTTAAGTTTTGCCTTCTCTTGGCTGCCTTTTCGTCTTTCGGAAGGAGATCGCGAACAAAAGAATCACGCATACGATCATACGTCAAGAGAATCAGTTTCTTCGCAAAAATTTACGTAAATATAATACATAATTATAACGTTATTATCAGTCCCCAGCATGAGTCATGATGCAACTGGTAAACTTTCCGAACGTATATTATACAATATGTAATGTATGTGTGCATGAGTATATGGATATATGCACTTATGTCTGGGTTTATTCGGCTGCATGATGATCGAGGGGTAAAGCAAAGTTCGAAGAATTACTGATTTCCGGACAAGTGCTTAAGGACTACAGTTATGTAGTCCTTTCCGCGCAATACATGGACAGGTTCTGTAATGTGCATTTATTACTGCAGCATTCATCGGCGACGCCTACTTTCTTGGCGACTTTGCTTTTTTTGGTGTCTTGATATCCTCTTTCTTGTTGATAGCACGTTTTCTCACTCATATTCCGAGAGGGGTCACAAACGGCCTCTTTTTCTGAAAAAAAACTTTTGTAGCAATCTGTACAAATAAAAAGATTGGCAGACAATAAGAGGTACATTAAATAATTTATAAATGAATCATGCTGGTTAAACTATCATCTTCAATTATAATTACAAATATTAAAATCTGAAAAGAAAACATTGCATACATTTAGGAAACAAATATATTATTTAACATTGTTACAGAAATAGGCAATTTTGCTCATTAATCCATTACCGATATATTATCTATCCTATTTTGGCGTTTGGATTCGTGTATATAAGCCAAAAAATAATATCTTCCGTATTGATTGGCTTTTATGCTTACCTTGAACTAAACTATTATTTGGATCGTTGCTCTGATAATCTCTATTATAAGGCTTAGGAGTATTAAAAACCCCACCACAGACTAGATTCAGTGCATCCGAGAGTTCTTTCCCACAATAACGTCGTGGTTGTTGTGCGTTGGCCTCCAGTACAAACAACATTAGGGGGATTATTAGGCTGACAATCACGTTCAATTGGCTCGTGGACATCTGAAAGTATCCGTTGTCATTTAATTACGCGAACACATACACGAGACTAGATTAAAAACCGAAAGGAAGGAATATATTATATATTATTTATCAGAGAAATATTTATTATATTTATATCAGAGGAAATAAGCTTTTTCGGAGATAGAAAGATAAATAAGAATAGAAAAATAATTAGAGAATATAAAACATAAATGAGCATGTGTTAATTAAAAGTAGAACAGCAAAAACACTATCTCGGACAAACAGATAATTATATGCAGATTGTATGTTAAAGAAATAAAAAGAAATAAAAATATTTTATACAATGCACAGGCCTGTATATAAAAATATAAATAAATACGAATCTAATAATTCAAAATTATATTCTCATATATTTCAGTTAGAATTAACGATATTTATTTCGCGACTTTTCAAGGATGTGACCTTCCAATAATGATACCGTGTATTGTTCATAGTTTGTACGAAAATATACACATACATGTACGCATGTATTTCCGTTAGATTTGAAAGTATAAAGTCTTGTTTTTAGTAAAGATATTGAGAAAGATTAATAACTGAGCTTTAAAAATTAAATATCTATTAAAATGTCTTTAGAATTAATGAACGAATAATTTTATATATATATATACTTTATACAAATATCGAAGCTTGTTTTATAAAAAGCAAAATTTCATTTTCAATAGCTTACAACTAAATAGCGATAATTATCTCAGTGCCTCAATATTTTCATTATATCAATAAAGATCGAATTTAAATGTACTTTCGATATAATATCAATTTGCATATCGGTATACTTTTTAATTTTAACTACATCGTTTTAGGCTACAATTTACATAAATACACTTTTATTTTGATGTTTCAAGGTTGATGAGGGAATTTATTCGGGATCGATTCGCAAGCAACGTTTCATTAGACGTGTCCGGGTCATTACCGCAGTAGACACATTGGCTTGCTCCTTTGAACACGCGTAACGCTAATTAATATAGGACAAACCACTTCTATTTCCGGCGCATCGAAATTAGCGATAGAAATTAGCGTTCAACTAAGCTATAACTGAAAGAAATGACGCATATTGATGTCGAATTATGTCTAATATTAATTATCTTTTCCTCGCGATTAGTACGACTGAAAACGCGCACATTTACAATTCGTAGCATTATTGCTCCGATAGATCAAACTTTAATTATATTCACGATTTATCATAAAACTCTAAATATATATACTGAAATGAAATTCCAAACTAAATTAACATTCTGTCTTTAAAGTTGATGAGGCAATTTCTGAACGTTATTTCTAATATCTGCTTTAAGATTTCTTTTACATACCTTGAGAGTTTCTAAAGATTTTGCACTCTGATCCGGAAATCTTCTTTAAATATTCAGAACGGTAATTCAACTATAATTATTCTTTGTCTGGAAGAAACTGCGTGATCGTCGGTGAGTTGTTCTCGTCGATCTGAAGAAGGTCGTACATCTTTCAAAATATGAACCCGCGGATGGGGGAAATAATTGTGTTTACGTTTTGCGAACGCGGGCAACTCGTGGCATCTTACTGTGAAGATAATAAGCGCGATCGCACGTCGTCGATACGCCGTGAGAGCAAAACAATTAAAAATGTATCGGTTTAATTTATCGGCGAAAATTAGTTCATACGCGATATAACTCATTAATCTTAAATTTTTTTTCGTAATCTATTAATGCAGTAATCCATTTACGTAAGGTATTTCAAAAAGAGAAGACTAGCTAATAATAAGTTTAAAATTAGTTTTTTCGCAAGTGTGAATGAAATGTGAAAAAAAGAGATCGGGAAATGAATTGTTTTTTGGAACACAAATTTAATATATTATGTTAATGCATTTTTCTCTCACTTATTTTTTCGCACTTGTTTCTCTTTAATATTAAAATTTTGTCAATTTACATCATTTAGGAATTTATTGATTTCTTTGAATTCGCATAATTTTGCGCATGAAATAAAATATAAGGCTGTATCGCTGCTTCAAATTCTCTTAAATAAATTGAGATTAAACAATAATTATACGTGTCGATAATAACGTGTGTTCATTGGCTTCTCGTTTGGCGCCTTCGATGATCGTAGAGTACCGAACTACATAGATCCCCCCGACAATCTTAAGAAGAGATGCATTTTATAGCGAAAAATTCTATAAATTGAAAAGAGTACTCGGTTATCTTTAACGTTTTCCCTTTTCTTCCTCAACCGCGGAGCTATTCTCTTTTGATCTTTTTTCCTCTCTCTCGTTTACTTTCTCTCGAAAAACTGATGCATTTCTATTCTTGTCTTTTCTATTAATATTTTCTTATTATTCTCTTTTCTCATAATATCTGTAAAGTACTGCCGGCGGACACCATAAATAATAATGCATAAACACGTGAATATAACACTCGGAAAGATACTAAACACACTTATACGCACTGATATCCGATCGAGTGCATACCGGCCAATGGTCGACTTTTCCTATCAAAGCGCGAATGCATACAAAGGAAAATTTTCCCCATTCTCGCAGTTGTACATACATGTGTGAAAGAAAATAATTGAAAAATCCCAAATCTCTAAATTGTTTCGATTGCATATGGATTCGCGTTGTTTTGCTGTTAAATTGCGCGATAAATTTTTATTATCGACAAAAGTAACCTGTCAGAACTGATACAAGAGAAATATAACTATAAGTAAAAGTAACATATAATTTAGGTCGTTAAGACCAAAGAAAAGATGTGCACACCTATTTTAACATCAAATTTGTTTTTCTAAAAAAGAAATTTGTATATAATAAAATTTTACTATATTTACTATATTTATTATGCATTTCCGACTTATTTTTTATATAGAATTACATCCTTTTTGATTGTACTATTAGTTTTGATGCATTCGATATTTTTATACATGTTTTTCATAAAATTATATATTTATTAAATTGGTTTATTATTATTTATCTGTAACAGATTTCGCAAAATGAATTAAGAAGATGTCAGCAAGAAATGATGCACCCGAAGAAAATAGATGAAACTGTAATTCTCAAACATTAGATAGGAATATCTTGATAGGGTAAATGTCCAGAGCGTATCAAATCGAAGATTTGTTTCATTTATTAATACTATAGGTGTCATATTGATACAGGATTGTACAAGAAATTCAATAATTTCCGCCTAACAGTAAAGTTAAGTGAGATTCCGTTGGTAGTCATCTCATTAAAATAAATACCTTTAAAATTAACATAAAATAACAATAATAGAGAGATAATGTTTTGAGATAATTTTATTAGGTACTTACAAATAAAAAAAGAAGAATATTTTATTTTGATAAGATTATGATACTTATATGATAATATGTTATAATAATATACGATAATAAATGTCTATTATGTGGGTAGCATCGTTGTTATAATAAATAGAAATAAATCCAGTTTTAATAAATTCAATATATAATCATAATAAATTCAGTTTCTTATCTCAAATATATTTTTGGAAAGTTGACTTATCGATGCGATTAAATCTGTATAAGGAAAGCTGTTCGTCTGACGATTTAACTTTTTTATCGATAGCAAAAGAAAATATGCCCACAATTAAGAACTAAAAAAGAACCCCATGAGACACGTTCGACATTCTTTTCAGAAATTTATTACATAATATTAAACTCTTTAGAATAAAATCTTGTTTACGGAAAAAAAGTCTGCTAACACTGCTGTTCCATTGAAAAAGAAACGAATGTTAAGCCTATTGCACGAAAATACTTTTATATTACTTACCTAACTAGAACACACAAGCGCGCGGTTCGCGGGCGCCATTGCTCATTTTATATGAACAATGTAATATTAAAATAATATAATAATGTATTTATATGTAATTTTATAAATTATTTAATTCAATAACATTTTATTTATAAATAAACGTTTTCTAATATTTAAAATATAAAATTATTTATAAAAGTTTACACATGAATATTTTGAAAAAGTAATAAGTACTTTATGCATTAATATAATTGTGACTTTTACTATGATAATAAAATAATATACTAAGATATTAATAAGTGACTATTATTCTCACTCTCTCTCTCCCAGTTTTCTTTTAAAATATTTAATACATTTAGACAATACAATTTTTTTTGAAGACAGTAAAATATTTATAATTAATATTTTTTTCCGACATATATATATATATATATATATATATATATATATATATCGGAATCTTTGTATGTTAAATTTGACTCATTGATATCGAATATCGGCATGTTGCCTCAAGATAATGTCCCGCCAAAAATGAAGAGCAAAATGGTAAGAGTGAAAAGCAATTTCCCGATGTTAATACACCACGTCCTGCTATAGCAGCTATAGATAGGCTGCTTTTTTAATATCGGGACGAAGTCGATTACGTTTTGGTGTACCAACATCGGGAAGTGGCGATTCGCTCTTGCCATTTTGCTCTTAATTTATTGACAGGACGTTATCTTGAGGCAACATGCTGATATTCGATATCAATGGATCAAATTTAACATAGATTCCGATATATATATATATATATATATATATATATATATATATATATGACATACTATAAATTCGTGATTGGTTTCTCTCTTTTTTTAAATGTTGATTCTTTATTCCAATTTAACTTTCATAGACTGATCCACAAAATGTAGTTTGAATACTTCTGATGATCATAAAAAGTACGATAAATGTCACATACAATTATAAGCTATATAAATATTTAATTTGACTGCAATTTCATGTTTTTTCGAGAAATCGTTAATCTTTCCTTTCACACATTCTCGATTGTGTATTTAGAATTATAGTTTATTTAGAAATCATAATCCAGAGCACTTGATAACTGCACACATTAATAACGAAAGGATTATATTTACAGAAAGAAAATGAAATTTGTAACAATATCTGTGTGGTTCAAGTTATTATACCATCAATTTATTAAATTATTAACAATTCAAGTAAAACAATTTTGATTGAAATGTTGCTTTCCGCGTATAATGCTAATACATTGTCCGAAATTTCAAAAATTTTAATTGATTTATGATGATATAAAAGGCAGAGTAAGAGAAGAAAGAATTGTTCAAAACATATTCGAATTTTTAAAATATTTAAATAAATATCGAAAGTTAAAAACCGAAAAAAACTTAAATCGGATTAAATAGATTTTATTTTTAAATTATTTTATATTAATCAATATTTATATTAATTATTATTTTATAATAATTAATATCTATTAATTATTATTTTATAACAATTTATCTACCTAATAGATTGTCACATTATTACAATATATAAAAGTATTCTCACAAAAAAGTCATTTTTAATTTTCGAGAAATATAATAATACTTATTTAAATATTATTATAATTAATATTAAACAATATTATAACGATTAATTTGAAGAGCATAAGAATTCTGATGTTTTTATATCTCATTTTTTTAAGATTACATTTCTTACATTTTTTTAAGTTTTGCCTTCTCTTGGCTGCCTTTTGGTCTTTCGGAAGGAGATCGCGAACAAAAGAATCACGCATACGATCATACGTCAAGAGAATCAGTTTCTTCGCAAAAAATTACGTAAATATAATACATAATTATAACGTTATTATCAGTCCCCAGCATGAGTCATGATGCAACTAGTAAACTTTCCGAACGTATATTATACAATATGTAATGTATGTGTGCATGAGTATATGGATATATGCACTTATGTCTGGGTTTATTCGGCTGCATGATGATCGAGGGGTAAAGCAAAGTTCGAAGAATTACTGATTTCCGGACAAGTGCTTAAGGACTACAGTTATGTAGTCCTTTCCGCGCAATACATGGACAGGTTCTGTAATGTGCATTTATTACTGCAGCATTCATCGGCGACGCCTACTTTCTTGGCGACTTTGCTTTTTTTGGTGTCTTGATATCCTCTTTCTTGTTGATAGCACGTTTTCTCACTCATATTCCGAGAGGGGTCACAAACGGCCTCTTTTTCTGAAAAAAAACTTTTGTAGCAATCTGTACAAATAAAAAGATTGGCAGACAATAAGAGGTACATTAAATAATTTATAAATGAATCATGCTGGTTAAACTATCATCTTCAATTATAATTACAAATATTAAAATCTGAAAAGAAAACATTGCATACATTTAGGAAACAAATATATTATTTAACATTGTTACAGAAATAGGCAATTTTGCTCATTAATCCATTACCGATATATTATCTATCCTATTTTGGCGTTTGGATTCGTGTATATAAGCCAAAAAATAATATCTTCCGTATTGATTAGCTTTTATGCTTACCTTGAACTAAACTATTATTTGGATCGTTGCTCTGATAATCTCTATTATAAGGCTTAGGAGTATTAAAAACCCCACCACAGACTAGATTCAGTGCATCCGAGAGTTCTTTCCCACAATAACGTCGTGGTTGTTGTGCGTTGGCCTCCAGTACAAACAACATTAGGGGGATTATTAGGCTGACAATCACGTTC